ATATATATATATATATATATATGTCTAACATATGCTCCAACATTCATTTGCATATCTACATCATCTTCGTTTTACACTTTTCTTTTAATGGCTACAGGGCATACACGTATTGGCACGTACATGTGTGTGAATATATGTATGTTTGTTTGGCTGTGCTTGTGCACTTCCGTTTGCTGTTTGGTTTAGCCATAAAGAGAGTTGATGCATGCATTCTTCCACTCTCACACTCACACTCTCTCGCTCACTCTCTCTTTGACTCTCTTTGATCGGCGCTCTTTACTTACACGTGTTACAATCACCATGTTCGTCGTCCTTCATTTACTACTCCTGGCGCTCTCTGGCATTCAAATGTAAAGCCCGTTTAGCTCTGTAAGCAGAGAAGAGAAAATCAGATAAGATAAGAGAAGACTGAAGACAAAAGAGTAATAACAATAAAAAGAAGAAAATAACAAGTTGCTGCAGGCGCTTAAAACCGGCTTTAATAATAATAAAAAAAATAAATAAAAAAAACAAGTAGAAGAGTTGGAAATTAAGGTGAAGTTTACGGTAAATTGAAAGAATTTACACAGTTGTCGTCGTCTCCTGCTGCTGCTTCTTCTGCCTCTTCTTCTTCTTCAGTAGAAACGTCTCTGTTCATTTCCTCATTTCTTTTTTGGCGACAATTTGATTACTGTTGTTATTTTTTCTTAAAGGGAAACTAAAAGTCAAAAGCTTAACAAAAGAAGAAGAAGAAGCAGAAAAAAATATCGAGAGACAACAAAGCCAAAGCCAAAATATAAAATATAAACCTTTAGATATGCAAAAAAGGCCAACGCACAATTTCACTTTTAATAATTGTATTTGTTGTTGTTGTATTAAGTTCCCAATCAGAACGAACATTGCGTTTTGTTATGCAAATAATAATAAATGTGTTTTGCTTAGTTTGGCTTATTGGAACTTTATTTTTGGATTTGTTTTCATTGAAAATATTTACTTTCATTGCTTATACGGCGCTGTGGGCCATAGAAATTTGTGGGCCAAATGAAAGGTGAAGACCATCACTAAATAGGAATATAGTATTATTATATGTATATTTATGTATGTGATATTTTAATTGAAAAAAAAAAAAAAACTATGACTAATTTGAAAAAAATATTTATGACTTCAATATTGAACTATATACACATATCTGTCTACATATATACTTTTAATCATTTCAACGGAGCTTATCTACAGAAAAAGCTAGTTTGATTCTAAATCAGTTGTGTATACATATGTATTTAAAGTAAATTAGTTTTCGATTAAAAAAAATATATATTTTCAGGTAATCTTGGACCAGGTAAAAATGCGTCATAAGCTAATTGCACAGTTGGAGGCGTCGCTATGTATACACATATGCATGCCTGTATACATATATATGTATGTGTGTGTAATTGCAGACAGCTAGTTTTTGTGGCACACACACATGCACACATTAAAGTACGTTAAATAGTCTGGTTACGCTCTGACGATCAAAATACAATCCACCCCACATTAAGCTACGGAGAGCATGAAAGAAAGAAACAGAAAATGTGGGAGAGTGAGAGAGTGAGGAAGAGCTAAAGACAGGTAAGTGCTCAAGTGTTCTACACTCAACATTATTTAAATGCGGATTGCCTAATAATGTTATCAGTAGACAAGCAACTGATAAGCCCTTACGACTGTTACACTGGGCATGACGAAAGGAAAAAAAATAAACAAACAGTAAATATAAATATTATCATTGAAGCTCAAGCACGTTCCAATTGCATATTCGGATGGTGACAGACACAAGTTCCAGTTGGAATTCGTGGAAGAGTGGGAAGCTAAGCATAATATTCTGCTTGGATTGTGATATTAATAACAAAGATACTCTATCTGATTAGAATTTGCCTGTTTTAGTTTGGATGGTAACATACATGCATTCTAGTCAGCAGGAGATAAGGAGTGAAGCAATGCAACATATTCAGTTACTACTACGAACTTGTCCATTTTGGCTGAGCTGTATAACAGAACATACGTAATTCTGATTGGCATTGGACAATGCATACAAATGTGTATATGTATATATATATATATAATTAGTATATATCTGCACGTTTCTACAGAATATGCAAATTTCTTATTAGATTCGAGACACGATTTCTGCTATAAGCTATCTAATTAGAATTTGGCAAAAGACCGTAACAGTGCATGCATGTAAGCGATAACAGCGGCTAAATCGAAATAAAATCTGATTTGAATATACTACATGACATTTCAGCACGTATGGGATAAGCACGTGCCTGTGTGTGCGTATGTGCGTATGAGTGTGTGTGTAAACGAATGCATGTGTGCAGAGTTCACCAAGTCATTAGTGAAAGTTCGTATCGCACTGCCACGTACATTACGTTTTAGCTATAAGTATAATGTCTATCTGCATGTTAACATATCGCATACTTCAGAAAAAGAAAAAATCGCTTTTCGTTGTTGTTGCTGTTGTTTTTGTTTCACTTTGACATTAGCAGCACTTCAACTGTTAAGGCTGCAGTGGCGTATAAGAAGCATTTACCGCTGCTCTCTTTTGTCTTCCAAAATATACAAAGCGTGTTGTATTAGTTATGACTGCTATGCGTGTATGTGAGTGTGTGTGTGTGCATTTGTATTTGTATTTTTTTTTTTTTTTTTTTTATTATGCCGATGCCGACCTTAAAAAAGTTTCACCAAACAAACAGAAAGTCGCAGTCGACGCTGGCTGCGTGTGGCGGCTGCAAAGTCGCGAAAGCTGCAAAGCCAACAACAACAATAACTATGTTAGCAGAGAAGCAAAAACAAAATACTTATTAAGTGTAGCGTTTAAGGTGTTTTTATTGAAAAGGGTTCTCAGCGCAGCAAGCTACAAAATGTCCCGTTGTGCAACAAACCGGCCAAACAAGTGCTGTTGTTGTTGTATAAAATTCTAACCCCGGCTCAAGCGCAATCTCAAGGCTTGAGAGCAGCAAGCTATCCACTTTTTTTTTCTTTCCAACTTTTCTATGAATTGAATGTGTGTGAGCAAAAAAAAAAAAAAAAAAAGGAAAGAGCGTGGCAGAGGGAGAGAGCGCGGTGTGGAGGCACCCATTTATACGAATGTGCAGTGTGAGCCGCTCTTTACACAGTGTACTCTCTTTAACAGGTGTCCAAGTGTGTGTGTGTGTGACTTGATGTGTTGTTATTTATTAAACTCTTTGGCTTGCTCGCTCTCTCTCTCTCTCTTTGCACCCATGTGTGTGTGTTTGTGAGTATGCGCTTATTAGTACCGTTCTAGTCAACGAAACCTGAAGCGTAGCTAACTATAATTTGGTCAGAGGCTTAGCCATAATGCAGCCACGTCTCAGCTCATCTGCTGATACACACATACACATACAGTTGGGTGTCAGTTTCACTTGTGACCCTTAAAAACCACACATAACTACGCCCTTGGCTATCTCTGATACTCTTATTAGTTTTTCAGCGCACTTTTCTAGTTTTACACACACTAACACATGACTTGCAGGGTGAATGCACTCATTTTTTTTTCTACACCATTAATGAGTTTGAAGAGAGCATTTGACTGTTTAAAACAACGTTCGATAATAAACGAATCTTTTTTCTCATGTTCTAAGCCAACAGCTATTAGCGTATATACTATAATTAACACTTTGTTCACTTTTTAGTCCCGTTTAGGTACGAGTTCCAGTTCCAGACCCAGACCAGATCCAGAGTCAGAGTCGGGCCGAAACTTGTAGCATTGGGCGATTTTTGTTGAAGCGGTATATTCTTTAAAACAGGTTACATAAATAGGTCACGCACCATCGAGTGCCAGTGCCAGTGCCACTGCGAGTGCAACCGCGCAACAGGTTAACAATGGCCGCTTGGACTTTAACTTTGACTTTAACTTAAATGAAAAATAATTGCCAGCATTAAGTACACACGCGTAAACACATTTGCTTAGCTAATTTTGTTATTGGCTTGGGTGATTATTTTCTTTCTTTCTTCTTTTTCTTTCTTTCTAGCTGTTGCTTCTTTTTAACGGTAGTTACCTCAACAACCAAAATAACCAACCGAGCACAAAACCGAACACAACCGATCGTTGCTAACAAAATTTGTGAACTGTCGGCAATGTGACCTGTCTACGATAGTAAAGAAAAGCGCCGCTCAGCTACAGCAGTGTGACCAAGCTGTTTGTTCGCTAAATGGTTAGTCGTTTTAATTGTCAACTTTTATGTGTTCTGTGGCTAGTGTTAAAAGTGATGTGTTAAATTGGAAGTCTGATGTTTGATTCTTTTAAAATGTGACGTCACAAAAGCGTTAGCATTTTAATAATTGAAGCGTTCCTGGCGTAATCTAGAGTCATAACAACGGCAGCCGACTATCCCTTAAAAAAATGCTTAACGACCTCTTTGCCAATGCCAAAAATAAAAACACAGCATGCACGCAGCCCGCTTTATGCATTCGTAATGTGCATTTGAAACACGAATGCACAAAATTAGATTTAACCGTTACGTAACAGGTACGTAAAAGGTTACGTAACCGCTAAAAGAGGCTAGTGTGTAGTGCAGTTCTAGTGAAATTTTCAATATTTTATTCATTGTTCATACACAAACTTGCAATCAATTATTATTGTTTTTTATTGATTTTACAAATTTTTAATATACTTTTATTATTTGAAATCATTTTGTATACGAGAACATTTTTAAAAATTTATTTTAAAATCTAACAGTATATTCATTTTATTTTACTGAAAACTATTTAGAATTTTCAATCAATATTTTTATATTAAATTAAATTTTCAGATAACTAATGAATAAAGTAATTATCAATTCGTCTTAAATTTCTACATAAACTTGAGCAGGTATAAAGCCCGCTGGAAGCGTGAAAAAAAAAAAACACTGCAGCTGGCAACACTGGCTGCCGTGCATACTGTACCTCAAGTTAAAAGCGGGCAAAATACTGATAAAAAGAACACGAATATGTACATTCGTACAATACATACATATGCAGAATTATGTATGTATTTATTTATTTTTTATTTTGTTTTTTTATTATTGAATTGTTTTTTAGTTCTTTAGGTGGTCAGTGAATGCATTCAAATTTGTTTACAATTTGACTTTTGTATTATAATTGAATAAGAAGCTGAAGTGCGCTGGGGCCGTAGTGGGGAAGATGATTAAAAAAGGGGGTGACGGATAAATGGGTGGAACTTAGCAGAACTTCCAACGATTGCCGCACTCGTTGCACATGACGAACGTGGTCATCGGCTCGTCGGCGGATCGCGTTTGCAGCTGGTTGTAGGTGCAGTTTCGCTTTTTGCACTTGCCGCACTTCAGCAAATCCGTTTTGGTGCCTTGCACAGTGGCCAGTTGGGCATCGTTGATTGCCTCCTTGACGAACTTTTCGCGCAGTTTCTTCATCTCGTCGCTGGCCATCTCTTCCGGTGTCATTTTGGCCAGCTGCTTGGCAGAGACGGCGCCGCACATGAAATTGCCACGCAGCCCCGGATTTTTCGGATCTTTCAGATTGGCGACTCTCGATCGGATGCGATTCTTATACTTCATATCGGTATTTTTGAACTCCGAGTAGATGGCATCCTCCAGCTCGGCGGCCATCTCCTCGGGCTCGGCACAGCCCTCGGGCACCTCGCCAATCTTCAGCGCATTCGTCAGCATCTCACGGCATTTGAGACGAACTGCATCGGTCATGCCCCCGGCTGGGAATGATGTTTGCGCCGACGACGGCTTCTTCTCGTCCCGCTTATCTTTTGTCGAACTACTGCTGCTGGACTTGTCTTTGCCGCTGGAACTCGATTTGCTGGCGCTCGATGTTGACTTTGATGAACTGTTGCTGCTCTCTTTATTGCCTCCAGCTCCGACTGCCTCTTTGGGCGTGGAGTTGCTGTTGGCACTGGCCGCGGGGGGTGCCGGACTGGCCAAGAAACGCTTCCAGTTCTTAATTAAAGTCTTCGCCAGGGCGATCACCTCGTCATCCTTGCTGCTTTTGCGCAGCTCATTCACCGTCATCCCGATGCGTGTCTTGGTCAAGATCTCCAGATTAATGTTGAGGGTTTGCAGTGCTTTGAGCAAATCAAGCGCCTGGTCCTGGCCCTGTAACATTCAACGAAATATGGGCACTAATTATAGACAAACTATATATTAACCTAACTACAATTTAATTGCATTTACTCACTGTTCCATCGCTGGAAGTTGAAATTTTGCCAATTTTCTTTTGAATCCGAAACACTTCGTCCTCCACGCTCATTTTTTCGACAGGTTTGAAATCTGCTTAAATGAGAATGTTTGACAGAACAGAGGTTATGTTAATTGTGGTTTAATTAGTTTCAATTTATGCTTTTCAATGTGTTTCCTTAGTTTAGTTTGTCGCAATTGGTCTATTACATTATTTCCCTCCAATAAAATGTTGTTTACTAATTTTTCTTTTATGTATTCTTTAGAGTTATTCTATTGTAGAACTAGTTCCAAATGCCGCGGCCGCCGCATATGCTGAGCACGTAAAAGTGCCTTTTTGAGTAGATGCTATTAACAGTGCAATGGTAATTTTATGTTGATGCAACAACGGTCACATTGTCCCACTCTGTTAAGAACCAAAAGCTATTTTTGCAGTGTTAACGTTTCGAACTGGACGCGCTGAAAATTAATGAAATCTTGGCGTGTGTGTTTTAATTAAAACAGTTGTATATAAGTGGTGAGTACTTTTTGTTTTTTTTATTGTTTAAAATGATAAAAAGAGAGCTGTGCAAGAACAAATTATATTGTATGTTTTCCTCCGCAAAGTTTTTGAAATGCAACGTTTTAAATGCGTCTATTCTTTTTAGTGTTCGGAGAGACATGTTTATTTGGAAAAATAAAGTAGTTAATTTCTATAAAAATGTACAAATTTATGTATGAATGCTTTCAATAATAGAACATCCGACCATTATTTCACAATTGTCAATTTTTACTTGATTGCCTATTCTCGTGCACTTCTCTTTCACCGTTATATTTCAGAGTTGTCAACTTCCCGCAGGCGAGCAATATCTTACTAACTCTCCACAATTTTGCACAGGTCAGCAGCGTTGACAACACTGGTGTTGAAAAACGGCAATTCCAAAATGTCAGCTTCAGATTCCTCTGTGATCTGCTCTTTCGTATTTCTCACTAACGATTTCATTCTAATTTTACAGTCATCCTGTTCGGACGTTAACGGAACGTAGTGTGAAAATTTTGACATTAGCAAAAATAAAAAAACATATTGATTCATAGATATTTAAAGGTGAGTTTTAAGTGCAATTATTTTAATTAAACAGATCAGCTTTAAAAAGAAAGAATTATTCAATATACGAAGTTATGTATTTTTTTGTTTAATTTATTGTTGTTCATCGCGTGAATTTCATTTCGATTTTGCCTTTCGCGTTTGTTTTATTTTTGACGAGAGTCCATTCCGTACGCATTCCATTATTTTGCCTTTTCTCCTTATGTTAAGCTTGTGTACGAAATGCTTCGATTCTTATTAGTTTTAGGCAAAGAGGAATATCTGTAAGCCTCCGAAGTGCTCTGTTTCGTTCATAAAACACGCGCGCAGCGCAAATGGCAGCATGCTGCGCACAATGAGAACAAGTACAATCTTGTTTGCTCTTTAAATTTGCGTGATTTTTAACAGTATTTGTGCAACCAAAAAACCATATTATCATTATTTTCATCGCAAAAGACAATTTTGGATGCTCCTAATTTCTCAGTATGCATTGTTAATTTATCGCATTAACAATGAAGCATTTCTAAAAGCCTCTTGATGTTTACAGATAGTTCTGGTATGTCTCAATGAATTAATCGTCCTCAAGCCTTTATAAATAAATAAGTTACAAAATGGTGTTATGTGAGCACTATCCGACTAAAAGAACCCTGATATGTTAGTTGGACTTAACCTTATGGGCAATGGGTTCGGCATATAAGAAGATTAAATATAGTAAGATGTAATGTAGGATAATTTAAATTCAATACAACGTTAAAAGGTTTTTTTCTCTTTATTTTTATCAAATAATTTTTATATATTTTCTTGTGGTTTTTAAACGAGTTTCTCTCAACTTTTTTGTTGAATTGGGGCTTTTATGTTTTTCATATTCTCTTTGGGCTCAAAATACAATACAATATTAGTCAAAAAATGTATTTTATATTTTTTCATTTTCATTTTGGATTTGTGGTTTAATTCGTAAAATTGTTGTTGCCATTTCATTCAAGTATTGTTCATAATCAACTTCATTAAATATATATATGTCTGTATATATATATATATATTTATTTTTAAGAGATATTTTTATACAATTTCTAATTGTAAAAGCATAAAATTTTACAGGTTTTACATGATTTTGGTTTTGTTTGTTGTTTTATTTTTTTTTTCTTTCTGTGTTGTAATTGTTTATTTTATTTTATTTAATTTTTTTTATTTGCTTTTCCTTGTAAGCGATTTTCAAATTAGTCGCGTGTGTGTGTATGTGTGGGTGTTTGTGTTTAGCTCTACTTAGTAAGGTTTTTTTTTTTTTTTTTTTTTTTTTTTTTTTATATATATTTGCTCCAATAGTTAATATAAATTTTGTATTTATTTTTTTTAAAGGCTTAAATGTAAATTTTTTGTCAGCGTGTGTGTGTGGGTGCTTTGATTAAATTTAGTATATATGATGCACATTAATTTGTTTTTATAATTAATATAATAGAGCATGCATCATAGCGGTATACGTATATATATGTATAATTGTATATATATAGTATCTTAATTTTTTATTTATTTTTATTTTTATTTTTTTTTAAGAAACACAATTACAAGCTTTTAACACATTATTATTATTTTTTTGTATAGTTTTTCTTCTATTTTTGTGGACTACAAAATTTTGCGTTTTTTGTTTTTGTTTTTTTTTTTATTAATTTTTAAAATACAATTTTAACACAGTAAAAATTAAAAAAAAAAGAAAATGCATTTTTATATGAGGGGCGTATGCATATAAAAATGTGTTTTATTTTTAACAAAAATAAATGTAATGTAGGTGTTTTATTTTTTTTTTTTCTTTTTAATGAATAATTGCCTTCCCATTGATGAGAAAAGTTTAGTTCGTGATGTTTTTCTCACTGGAAAGCGAACTGTATTTGTATGATATAAATTTTTAAACAGTGCTAAAGAAAATGAAAAACGGAAAAAAAATTGAAATAAAAAACAAATTTACAATGCGTGTCATAGTAATAGAAACTTTGATCTTTAGTTTTTGCTCTCTAAATTGCTTTTGCTTATGATTTACAGTTTGGTTTTCTTCTCATATTATGTATATATATTTTTTTTCTTTCATTGTATATATATTTATAATTTCTCTCGTTTGCGCTCTTATTGTTTTTATCAAATTTATTTGTTTTTGTTGCTTTTGGCTTTGGCTGCGCTGCGGCCGCCTAAAATGAAATCAAATTTTCCAACTCTTGCTTACAGTTCGTATGTGTGTGTGTTTGTGTGTATGAGTGTGGGTGTGTATGTGAGTGTGAGTGATATATATATTGGTTATCTGTTTCTGCTCCTAATCTGCAGATGCCAACTCTTAAAAATTGAATGCACGCCCCGGCGCCTCTATCGAGCGCCTCCCAACCTCAGCTCCTTTTCGTTCTGCTCCTCTCTGCTCTTCCAACATTTAATCTCCAAATTTAGCTTAGGCGAGCGTTGGGAACTGACGCTCATCGTTGACCTTGGGCGCAGCATTCTGTTGCCGCTCGTTGCCAAAACGCTTGCCAGCATGTCCACCTCCAATGCCACCGCCCAAGCCGCGACGCTCAATCGGCGGCCGATTACCACCTTCGGCACGAACAGATGAGCCATTGCCACCGCTGCCACCCACATTGCCGCCATCGGCATTGTTGCCGCCTTGCTGTCCACCGCTCTGTTGCGGTCCGCCCCGATTGCCCTCGCTGCGTGGTCCGCCGCCGCGTGGTCCGTTGCGTCCGCGTCCATTGAAGTTGCCGGCGCCGCCGCCACGACGACCGTCGTTAAAATTGAATTGAATGTCAAGGACGCGCTGCTGACGGCCCACGCGTTGCGGATACATGGCAGGATCGTATTCAAGTTCCTCTTCGCTTTCGTTCTCCTTCTTTTTGTTATTGTTCAGCACAATCATTTTCTTCCATTGCGACGTGTCCTCACCTGCAGCATAGATGTGAAAATGTGATTTAAATTTTGAATTATTATATGTATTCATATTTAGAAGTATATAAGAAAGCTTGAAATTTAATATAGGATAAAAAGTACTAAACAGATACGCTATCTCTATATAACTATAGTATTTAATTAACTAAACTAGTTAAATCTTTCGTACTTTTGAATCCCGAATATATTAGACTATAATTATTGTCCAGCTTTTCTTTGATCATACAATATGGTGCCGATATTTTAAGATGATAAGATATGTCAAAAATGATCAACATACAAAAATACTAAAACGAGATACAATTTATAATATATAAATAAGAATAATACTGTTATTCGAGCATTTTACAACAGTAACTATACATCAGGAACTTTTTAGACCTATCACCTAGGTATCAAAATTGTACTATATTTTCTTTAAATTTTCAAGATTCCCCTAGAATTCTTCTAGTATATCAATATATGGCTATACTTATATAAACATATTCCTTATCTATATTCAACCCACCTTCCCCGGCTTTGCGTATGTTAAACTTGGGCTTAATGCGCTGCTGCTGTTGGGCCTTCCATTCGTCTAGGGTCAGCTCTTTGGTCTCTTCCTCTGGTGGTGTTTGTTCGTTCGATTGCTCATTGCCAGATTCTTCGGCTTTGCCTTCGGTATTGTTAGAGTTGTTTGCATTGGAGTCATTGTTGTTGCCGCCTTCATTGCTCTTGTTAACATCATCGATGGCCTCCTTAACCGAGCCCCAATTGTGAGCGCCAGCTCCATCGCGTTTATCAATTGCCTTGACACCTGGTTTTGAATTTTAAAATAAAATATTAATTATATAATATATGTAAATATATATATTGTTTTACATCAACCTATTCGAAATGGTTAGTGTAAAATTGAATCTTATCAGGTTCTAGATTATAGTGGAAAATCTTTGATAAGAAACTAGGGGCCGGAAAGTGTTGCCCTCTATGTGACAAGCTTTTGGAATTAGGCTTGTTTTTTTTTTCGGAATAATAATGCATATAAAATGACAGTTTCTTTAGTTCTTGAGCAAAATCTATAATATATTAGAATACATCTAGAGGCGGCATATTCCCCCCAGGCCACAGCTATGTGTGTATTCTTTGTCCCCCCTTCTTAGAAATGTTCCATGGCGTGGAAAACTTGTGTGGGATAGCCATGTACACGATTGATGGGCTTTGCGGGTTGGTTGCGGGGGAGAGGGCCTGTAGTAGAATCAAACTATTTTTAAACATATTTCTATACAGCGTGTTTTGCGAGTGAGGCTAAAGAAATGTGCGCCACACTCATTTCGTTTCTTTACAGTTTTAAAATATGGATTCTGAATGAGTAAAATCAAGAAATGCGCCCGAGTGTAATTAGTCGAGGTAAACCTTTTGGGGTTAGGAATAATCAGAAATAACAATAATAAAAAAAAATATATATAGACAGAGTTATATATACATAGTTGTATATCTAATATAAATATATATGCATATAGCTCACCAGTTCTATCAGAGCCCGATTGACGATCAAATTCACGTTTACGATTGTTGCCCTCAAAGTTGCGATTCTGGCGCTGTGGCCGATCACCACCAAAGCCGCCGGAGGCGCGATATGGTCGAGGATTGCCATCGGCACCAGTCGAATTGCCAGAGTTGCCACCCGGAGCGCCATTTTCGCGCACGTTGCGGCGATTGTTGCGCTGCTCGCGCGTTACCTCACCCCCGGCGCCGCCACCTCCTCCATTCTGTTGACGAAAATTGACATTGCGCTGTTGTTGTTGCTGCTGCCCTTGACCAGTTTCACGTGTTTTGCGCGCAGCGACCGTCGAGCCAGCCCCAGCCCCACCTTGTTTGCCGTTCAGTTTGTCATTGTTGTTGTTGCCCTGTGCCGTTTTCTTGCCATCATTTTTGTTGAGTGCACCTGGTTTGTTTTCCTTTTCGGCTTGATTTGGCTTTTTGTTCGCGGCGGCTGCTGATGCTGTGCCCGCTGGCTGCTTCGCTGCTTTGGCAGTTGGCGCCGTTTTTGTGTTGCCCGCCGCTGCTGAGGCGCCAGTTGATGGCTGCTGCTTCTTCTTGGCCGCGACAAGATTATCTAATGGATCGCCAACATCGTCGTCCATGAACAAGAGTTCATAACGATTTTTACCGGCGCTATCCATGTTGTTGTTATTGCCTCTATTGCTGTTATACTTGCAATATAATCTTCCAATTGATTTTTCCACACACAACTGATTTTTATGCAAAAATCACACACAGAATTTCAGAGTTTTCTGTCAGAAAAAAACTCGTGTGTGTTTGGTCGCTGCTGCTGCGCCTATAATGTAAAAATATATAAGTATGTGTGTTTTTGAGAGTGTGTATTTGTTTGTTAATGTATGCGTATGGATGTGTGAGCGAGTGTGTGTTTGAGAATATAAGAAATTAGTTTTTTTAGTCTTGCTTTTTGCTATTTTTTTTCTTTTCGTCGTCGTGTGGTGTGTGGTTGCCTGGCTGCGCTCTAACCTTAATTTTCTGCGTTTCTGCTTTGGCTGCTACACACAAGCGTGAACATCTACACACATATATACTCTACTCAAGCGCACATGTGTTCTACACTACCAGAAGGCAAGGCGAAAAAGCGCAAGCAGCATGCTGTCTGTGTATACATACACAGAACAGAGCAACTCACGTTTTTCACTTAACAGAGCGGAGCGCATTGGTGCGCTTAACATGCTCTCATTTCTGCGTCGGCGAATGGCAAAGAAATGAAATACCAAAACGCAGCTGTGTTTAGTGTGCACGCTGTTTTTTTTATGGCGGCAAATTTGAGTTCGTTGTGCATATGTAAATGTATATTAACTGTGTTTATTAATTATTATTATTTTAATCTTTCAGCTTAGTTAACGACCAAGAGTGATCATGTCTGACTGGGAAGATGAGGTGAGTTGATATTCATATTAAGATATGCATGCAGTTTAATATAAATTTTCATTTAGCCTGTTGTGCCTGAGCGCACCGATCAGATTCGTAAATTACGTGATAATGTCAATCGCGACAATAAGGAGCCACCATCGAAATCCAAAGAATGGAGCGATGATGACAAACCGAATGAGAATCGTCAGGGAGATGGCAATGGCTATCGTGAGCGACGTGCTAATGGTGAAGGAGGTGGATACCGAGCACGTCGTGAGGATGGCCAAGGTGGGGGCGGCGGCTATCGTGGACGTCGCGATGATGGCCAAGGAGGTGGAGGAGGTTACCGCGGACGTCGTGATGACGGCGAAGGAGGCGGAGGTGGCGGTGGCGGCTATCGCAGGCGTATGGATAACAATGATGGAGACGAGGAAGGTGGAGGCTATCGTGGACGCAATGACGAAGGAGGAAGAGGAGGCGGTTATCGCGGACGTCGCAATGAGAACGATGGTAAGTGATTCTACACTAGCAATAATTTTCTATATTTACATAGGTATTTAGTAAGATTCTCATGAGTCGTGAATTTATGGTCCAACTATATGTCTTGTGTGTCTTTTGCTCTTGTATCGTCTCTAAATTGTCTGTAATACTCATAGCGGATCATTTGATGTGCTTCAATTTCAACGTGCCCAAGAGCTATGATAAGGAAACCATTGCAGCATTTTTAAAGGATCTAAATCTTAATGCAGCCAGTCAGTCGATCGTTGAGTTACGTAAAAAACGCGACTATTTGCTAAAAGCTTTCAGAGAACTCGTTAAGCAGGAGTGGGCAAAACTGGAGGAATCGGACCAGAAACAGCGAATGGAGGAATTGAAAAGATTATGCCCTGTCTCTGTTAAAATGTTAGACATAATGCCGGATATAGAAGAGTTCCTCAAACAACCAGAGGATGAACTGCTGCAGCTGCATCGTTTGGATCTTAATCTTCGGCAATCGGGTGAGCAGCAGGAGAAACAGCTGCAGCAGTTGCAGCCGCAGCAGCTGTTAGAATCGCAACTGAATGGCGATGCAATCGTGGTGCCGGGACAGAGTCGAAAAGCTGTAATGCGAACGAACTACTCCACAGCTGGCATGAGAGATCGAAAGCTAGCCAAGGAGCAGAATAGAGAAAGTGTCATAAAACGCATAACAAATTTGCTTAAGAGTGCGTCTCGTAACTACGAGCTAAATGATGGGGTCGTAGAGCCGGTCGATGAGGAATTGGCCATAGAAATACCAACGGAGCGAGGAGAGCAACGAGTGCCAACACGTTGGCTATCGGAGAACTTTATGCGCTTGCGAGAAATGCGCAAGCCACATTTTCCTGATTCAACTGAATTGGAGCAACCGCTGTCCTGGCCATTGGGCGTAGACAAAAGGATTTGGCTGTCCAATCGACAGCCGCCTCCGGTACTGAACATGTGGTTTGTGCATCGTGCAAGTGACTCGGCTGCTAGGCGAGAGCAGGACCTGGAACAGTATGAGCTGGATCTGGAGCTAGCGCTGCCACGTCAGGATCTGCAATCCCGCAGTCAGAATACGCCCAGTCATGGCGGCTTGTTGCCGTTGAGTGTGCAGGATAGTGGAGGCAATGCGGCCCAAATGATCAGTAGCCATGCGGCATCACTCTCCAATGATGGGTATATACTTCTGTCTCTCTCTATCTCTATAAGCAACAAAATTCATCAAATGATTTATTCTCTTCTCGCCTGTTGTTCTTATTTCTATCTATATCTCTCATATCTACTTATGTATGCAGACTGCTTCCCACATTCTCTGTTTCCCAATGTCTCTCTATTTAAAGATATCCACACTTCGCTTTGGCCTTTCAGCTTCGACTGAGTAATTCGACTGTCTTCGGCCTTCCTAAATGTTTCATTCCGTTGTCGCAGGCCGTCTGCTATGAAACACTAGCTTGTATTTATATTGATAAACATTCGCTTCATTGTCTGCATCGCATTGACTCACTCTTTACTTTACAAAACTGCAATTTTCTGTAATTTTACTCTCAGACTATCTAGATTTTTCCCTCTCTCTCTCGCTCTCTCTCTCTCTCTATCTCCTTTTCTATTTCTGCTTCTATTTCTTTTTATCTATTTTGTCATCTCAATTTCAATATCTCCTTACATTCTATTTATCCTTCCCTTTTTAACTATATTGCCATCTCACTTTTAATATTACCATCCCTCATTCCATCTCTTTTTGTCTATCATATCTCTCTATTGCTAAACCTTATCTGTACTTACAAGTATCCATTTATCCATAATCCCATGTCTCTTCCTTAGTAACTTGCTTTGGTCTTTTAGGATATATTTACCTGTCTATCTATCTATCTATCTATCTATCTATAATTTTCCTTTATCTCTACTTCTCTATATATAACTCTCTCCTCTCTTTCTATAACTTTATCCACTCACCTTATGCTAAACTGCTTCGCCGCCACATTAGCCTTGGTTGGGTTGGGGTTTTATTTTCCTTTTTGTTGTTTTTACTGAAATTCGGTTGATTTATCTATAAACACACACTATATATTCACCTATTTTGGTATACGAACAATTTTGACATTCACTCGAAACATATGAAACAAAAATGATTTAAATGTGTGTGTAAATGCGATGGGGGCCTCCTGTATGTGTGTGTCTCTCTGTAAGTGTGTGTGTGTTGTGTTTGTCGTAAATGTAAAATAAAAACTCAACTGATATCAAACAGGCTGTGCGTAGGCTCAAATATTCGCTTCACATACGTCCTTCAGCTTTCCGATTTAGACTTTGACTTTTCTACAACTCGCATGCTCGATCGATCTCCTCTTTCTCTAAATATTGTGTTCAAAAATGGAGCTTTGGTATATTTGTTTTGAAATTTGATTTCAATTCAAATCTTATAAAATTGACCCATTAAATCATATTCAATAATCGCTCTCGCTCTGAGCAAGAGCCTTCGGCTCTTTTCGTTTTTGTTTCGTGTGGCGCTCTTTGAACGAACGTCGTTTCGGTCGTTTCTATAGTAAGGTAGATTCTTTGGTTTCAGTCAGACAGTATGACTTTCAGAAGGCAGGATGGACGTGAGCGAGTTTATATAGAAAGTTGCAGATCAGTAGAAGAATTGTCTAGACGAATTTTAAATTCCGTAAATAATAATATAGAAATTAAATATCAATATAGAAATAGATTTCTTTACGATAATATCAAATTCAAAATGAATCAATTTCAAACTGATTTCTGGACACAATATTTTGTTTGGCCATTTGATGCTGTTGCTACTCCATGATTGACCTTATCAGAACTCACAATTGCAATTGGTATTGGTATTCGCAGCCTTTCCGCCGTGCAACTGACAAGCGGTGGCAATCAGGCAGCTAATTTATCAGCTGAAGATATCTATGCTGTGTGCCCACCGCCGATGCCGCCTGTGACACCCATCGATGTGGACAATGGCGGTGGAGTGTCCATAGGAGAATCTGCTGCTGCTGCTGCTGCGGCGTCGTCTTCTGCTGCTGCAGATGCAAATTTGTCAGCATCGCTGGCGTTGCGCTCGCGTCATGCATTCGCCTCGACGCCTTATCGCACGCTGTTGCCGGCTATTGACGAGGAGCCACTGCAGCAGATGAGACCCTCGACAATGCCACGAGTTCTGGAGCTGAACGAAGTATCGACAGCTGAGTCGTCAGTCGGAGCCACAGTAATTGAAGCAGCGGCTGTCGGGACAGTCGATATAGCTGTCTCCTTGACGCCACCAATGCCGCGTGATTGGACCTCCATATTTAGGCCACGCACTGCTCTGCCAAATTACACAAGGGGCGTGGGATACGACAATCTTCTCACTCCGCCAAGAGGTTTGCGCCGGCGCAAACGGAAACGCAGACAGCCAGAGGCATCAGCAGCAGCAGGAGCAGCAGAAGCAGCTGTGACAACAGCTCAAAATCAATTGGAGCAGATTGTGAATGTGCAGCCGCCCAGCAATGATGAGGTGATGCTCGATTATTTGTCCAATCTCTTCCACCAAATATGGTCAGAAGTCGAGGAGCCAATGGCAGTGGCAGCCGCTGGACAAATTGAGCCAGCGCCAGCTGCAATTGAGATAACAGAGTTGCCTCCAGGAGCCGAAGCCAGAGAGTTGATTGAGTATCAGCCAGCAGCTGGGGAAACAAATGAAATGCTGGCTTCGTCCATGAGCACGGAGAGAACAACCGTTGTAGAGGTGACGGCGCCACCAACTCTGTCCACCGACATAGATGGATTGCCCGAAGGATCAACGCTCGCCTTACCACTGCCCGAACTGGGCGGCAGATCTCTAGAGCAGGCACTGCCATTGCCCCTGAGCTTGGATGAGTTGCCTGAAATGCCATTGGTGACCTCCATACAGATTATCCAACAGCCTTCGAGTGCGGTTGTCAATGCTGGTCAATCGATAACTGATCTGAATGAATCAACTGCCATTATACAAAGCGCAACCGATAAATCGTCTGGGGCAAAGGAAGAGACCCGCCTTAAGCGTGTGGAGAGAGAATTGCGTGAGAGTCTCAGCTTCATTGTGGAGCACAAGCATCTGTTGCGTCTCATGGTCGATCATAATATCCACTTGAGCGGTAAGCAACAGAGGGAGGATCAGCTAAGGAGTCGCCATGGATCTGCCATAGCCACCAGCATAAACTTTCCTCAGTCGGACGGCAACGAGGACAGCAGCGACGGCGTGCGATATGTCGCCATTCCAGCGATGTACACCTACGATCCACAGATCATACTCAAAATGTCGGAGGTTAAGCTGAGTGTGATGCATAAACTGATTGGCGCCTTAATCCGCAATGATCGTGTGGATTTGCGTGCCAAGGGTTTCTTCGAGACGCGCATGGAAGCTGCCATTGGCTATCGTGTGCTCTTCGAGCTGAAAGCAGCCAACATAATCACGCTCGATGCAGATGCTCGCTATGCAATGCTATTATAGAGGGTGAGACAGAGAGAGGGAGATGCGAGAGAATTCGATCAAAAATGAATTTTATTTAGATAATGTTGATTGAAAGTTAATTTTATCTCTACTAAATTTTATGATAATTATTAATAATAATCCAATGTCTATTATAAGGCAAATGTATTTCCAATTGCCGAATTTTAAAAACATTTTATCCATTTTAATTTCAAGAGTTACAAAATATTATAAATAATAAATTTTTACATATGTTTTTTTTTATTAAATTACAAAATATATATATATATATATATTCAGCATTAAAATAACGCTTTGAGTATGTTATAGAAGAAACTCAGCTGAACAGGATTTTATATTTTGATTTTGAGCATTTTAATATTGTATTTAAGATACTTTATAGTGCATATGAAACTAAAGAATTTGAATAGAAAAGGGAAAAAATTAAGATTTTTGAGAGATATAATTTCTATGTTACAATACATAACATACATTAATGTTATGTATTGAAATATATGTACAGATTTTTGTTTAATTTTATTTAATCATGTATCTATTAATATTTTAAATAATAGACTGCATTAGTTGTTTGCTAAATTTTTAAAATATTTTAACTCTTATTTTTAATTTATATACATATCTATCGATGTACACAAAATATATATTCATTTGGTATTTTTCTATTTTTATATTATTATTTCAATATGATTAGAATGATTATACGAGAATTTTCAATTTTCATAAATTCTATATCAAGAATATGAATAAAAATATTTGAAATTAAAAGAAGAATTGGTTAAAGTTCCTGAATTGAAAATGAAAAATGTAAAATCAAATTGATTTTTAAATGTTATACTCCTGAATAATATATTTCTATTTCGTTTTTGTACACTTTTAAACTAACAAATAAATTTAATTTAAATATTAGAAATTTAAATACCAAAAAAGTATGATGAATATTATTTATATGTTTGTTTTCGTGTTGTGTGTTTATCCATGTTTCGCCTTAACTATTTAATTTTTTTTTATCAATACAATATTAATTGAAAATTTTCAATTTAGAGTACAACAGGGAACGCGGCGGAGACGAGCGTCGTCACCGTGATCGCGATGGCGATGGAGGCGACATGAACAACAATCGCGACGACGTTGGCGAGGAGGGCGAGAAGCAGAAGGCCCGTGAGTTCTATATACCACCCGAGCCGACCAACGATGAGACTGAAGTGTTCAGCACTGGCATCTCGTCGGGCATTAACTTTGCCAAGTATGATAATATACCTGTTAAGGTAGGTGTATATCAATTACCCTTGCGAATTGGTAATATATCTTCAACATTTCCAGGTGACTGGCGAGAATGTGCCGCCCCCCATCAAGAGCTTTGATCAGGCACGCTTGCGTGGCAGTGTGCTGGAGAATGTCGTCAAGTCGGGCTATGTGGTGCCGACACCCATTCAGAAGGTGTCGATCCCAGTGATAGCCGAGGGACGCGATTTGATGGCCTGCGCCCAGACGGGCTCGGGCAAGACGGCAGCGTTCCTCTTGCCCATTCTAAGTAACATTTTGGACGAGAGCCATGATCTGGAGATTGGCAAGCCGCAGGCGGTGATTGTATCGCCGACCCGTGAGCTGGCCATCCAAATCTTCAATGAGGCCAGGAAGTTTGCGTATAGCACTTATCTGAAGATTAGCATTGTCTATGGCGGCACCTCGTTCAAGTATCAGAACGAATGCATTACCAAGGGCTGTCATGTGCTGATTGCGACACCAGGTCGCCTATTGGACTTTGTGGATCGCACGTTCATCACATTCAATGATACGCGCTTTGTGGTGCTCGACGAGGCCGATCGCATGCTGGATATGGGCTTCTCGGACAGCATGCGCAAGATAATGCATCATCAGACAATGCGTGCGGAGCATCAGACACTGATGTTCTCGGCAACCTTTCCGGAGGAGATACAGCGCATGGCTGGTGAATTCCTACGCAACTATGTATTTGTGACCATTGGCGTGGTCGGCGGCGCCTGCTCCGATGTGCAGCAGACCATCTACGAGGTCAACAAGTTTAACAAGCGCTCCAAGTTGATGGTGAGGCGGGCAGATTGTGACTGGGAGGGGCGGGAGATTGAGTAAACTGAAGTTTATTTACAAATATTTATATTTTACAGGAAATTCTACGTGAGGGGGCCGATGGCACCATTGTCTTCGTGGAGACTAAGCGTGCCGCTGATTTTCTGGCTTCGTTTTTCTCGGAAACCGAATTTCCAACCACGTCCATCCATGGCGATCGTTTGCAGAGTCAGCGCGAGCAGGCATTGCGTGACTTTAAGAATGGCACCATGAAGGTGCTCATTGCCACGTCCGTTGCATCACGTGGTCTTGGTGAGAGATGCCTCCAGCTGTTTGTCTATTTTTTGTTTAAACTAAATCCCTCCTTTGGTTAGATATTAAAAATGTGAAGCATGTGATTAACTATGACATGCCCTCAAATATCGATGATTATGTGCATCGTATTGGACGCACCGGGCGTGTGGGCAATAGTGGACGTGCCACATCCTTCTTCGATCCCGATCAGGATCGCGCCATTGCGGGCGATTTGATAAAGATCTTGGAGGGTTCTGGACAGGAGGTGCCCGATTTTCTTAAGGAAATGGGCGGAGGTGCAAGCTATTGCGGTGGCTCCGGTTTTGGCGGAATTGATGTGCGCCGTGGTGTAAGTAGTGAAATCCTTTGAAAAGTTTATAACTCTCTTTTATATTCAAATTCATTTTTTAATTAATATTTTTATTTGTATGACTACTTTCATACTAAAATATTTTAAAGTTAGTGTCGCGCATTTTTTAAAATTTCCTATTTTATATTATAATTTATATATTAGTATTATCTAATTTATATTATATTTTATTTTATTTGTATTATTTATATTCATAGGTTAATAATGCCAACCCCGTCAACTTGGAGGATGAACAAGATTGGGACTAAATTAGTTTACTCTATATTACATAAATATCGACTTTTGCTTACCAATAACAAAAAGAACAACAACAAAAACAATAATTCTAACAAACCGAGCAGAAAAAAATGCAACAACCAGAAGAAGAGCTGCAAAAAAGACAACAACATTTGCATTGGGTATTACTAAACGTAAATTATGTTAATCATATAATTCATCTTATAACACAAAGTTATATGAATATTTAAAAAACAAAATTCGAGGAATGCACCTAATCATTATTTTTGTTAAACAAAATTATAGCAAATTTGTTTAACATTTTATTAATCTGAATTAAATAAAATCATTTTTCGTTTGACAAAGTATTTATTAACGGCTTTCAATTAAATTTCTATAATAAACTCAGTTTAATAAATTTAAAGAGAGCCACACCAAAGGCAACAGATCGAACTAACTGTCAGAGTTACAATTGTTAACCATATAGAGAAAAAGAGAGGCATGTCAATAGCTTTTGACAAGATAATCATATGTTTGTTCTTTTTGGGGTTTGCATTTGTAATGTTTTCGCTTGCTCTTTGCCTGCCATGTGCTCTGCTCTGCTCTGCTTTGTTATCTGCCGGCTTTTTGCATGCTGTCTGCAGCGTGCGGCTCCCTTAACGGGCCGCTGCAGGAATAGTGAGGCGTGCATGAAAACAAAAAAGGCAATACAAATTTTTGCTTTGCTATGTTTTTGTCTTTGAACACGCACGCACACTTTCACACATGCATACACATATACACGTACGCATACGCACACAACAAAATCAATAAATGCGAAACTCACCACGCGCGCTCTCGCGCTCTCTCTCTCTGCAAATGTGTTGAACTTTTGCTCCGCTTAGTATTTGCGTGTCATTTCAGTCTCTGACGGCATTTTCCAACGTGTGAACGTTATTTCGACCGGTGCGCAATAAATTACAAAACTAAAACATTTTGGTGGTATTTAATGAATTAAGAATTTATTTACATTTGCCAAAGTCAAATGCAAATGCAGTGATGCGCTAAAAAGTGTGCTATATTTGAGTGAACAACGGCTTTCATTAAGTGAAGTTTGTTTGTGTTGAGTTTTGTTGTTGTTGTTGCTGTGGCATTGGTTTAACCTAAATCGCTTCTTAGCGATTATGAAATAACGGCTTCAAGTGGCACTCGTCGCTGTTGTTGCTGCGGTTTGAATAGCAGCAACAACAATAATAACAATACCAACAACAGCAACAGCACACTAACAACAGCAGCAACAACAACTAAAAGTAGGCAACAATAATGTAACTGTTTAATGACGGCAACGCACATTGAACCCTAGCGGGGATGTTCTGTATGCAAGATCCCGTTACTTGCAATGTTACCCCGCGTGGCAAAAATTCCCCCAGCCCGCGCACGCATGCTTAGCCGGCGTTGCGTGTGGAAGACTACAGTTTATTTCGCCTAATTCCTTTTCTTTCTTTTTGTTTACAAAGTTCAACTGTGAATATGGCTTGCTCTCTCTTGAGCTCTCTCACAGCTCCGTTCAAATGAATAGCTGCACTTATTGAAATTGAACCAAAATTTACGGTTCTTAATGCATTCCATTTGCACAGTGGGCTGTTTTTATGAATTTTTAATTTTGTAATTGAAGTCGCTAAGAAGAAGATTCGCTAAGAAGATTCGCGTGTTTCATTTAGTTTTCTTCCGCAATTTATAAGCAATATCAGTGAATCGGCAAGTTTTATGTCTAACTGTAAAAAAATGATTAATGTTTGAATGTTTTTCCAGCAGACTTCCGTTATACTTTTACGTAATAAACACGCCACGACACTCTTTTTTTTTTTTTTAACAAAAAGCGAAACTCCACAATTTCGAGAAATAATTTATCAAAGAAAACTAATATCCAAAGTGAACAAAAAAGACAAAAAATTAAGAAAGAAAACAAGCGGCAAACAAAACGTAATATAATAGAAAGCCACAAAAGAGAAAAGAGGAAAAGACAATATTTGTTTTTAGTTTTATTTTTTATTATTTTCATTTTTATTTTGGCACACAATGAGCCAAAGTTTTGATAGTTTAACGCACGGCGGAGGCGGAGGCGGAGGTGGGGGCGGACGGCGAGACTATGCGGAGCGACAGTCCTCGGAGGATGTGCCGGATTCGACGGCAACAACAACAACAACGACAGCCGGCGATTTAGCCGCTGGCACAGCAGCTGCGACACTGCGAGATGACGAATTCAGCGAGGATAACAATTTCGAATCGAATTTGCGACGTCGCAAAGGCAAAATAATATCCTGTGCCAAGGAGACAATTGAGAATGGTAAGAATGCCACTCTTATACATGTGTATATGTTGCATGTCTTACATATATAATATTGCCTACAAGCAATCCCTTCGAAAAGTATTTTTGAGTACGAAAAATCTACCTCACTCCTTAATTGTAATCTTATCACAAAATAATTAAATAAAATATTAAAGAACGGCTCCTTATCACATAATCTTCAACTCACTTAGAAATCGAAATCCTTTTGTCACTCTTATACATATTGTATACATATTGTATAAGCGATCGCTTCGAAAAGTATTATTTTCTTTTATAACATTCTCTTCTCTCTCTTTAATATTGAAATCCTAGTGAGGTGTTTTTTTTCTGGCTCACTTATTGACTTTGTAATTTGCCCAATAAACACACCTTTCTCGCACGCAATTCGGCCTTCTCTCTGCCTGTCTCTGTCTTTCTGTCTCAAGAGTTTCAGTCGAGACGCCAATTTCGTAGCTTGTTAATGGGCCAACCCTTATGTTTGGGCACCCTTAAGGCAAAGCCATAAATATCATATGGATTTCTTCAATGTACTCTTTTCGTATGATATGGAACACACGCAAAGCCCTTCACATCCTTGACCCATAAAAATTAATTTACCACCTGAAGTAAATGTGGGAAAATTACTTACTGCTGGCCATTCCCATGTGGGTGTAAAAAATCATTTGCATTAATTAAATTGAAAGTTAATATAAGAGAATAACGAATTTGCCTGCAATGGCACAGTAGAGCTGTAAGTAAGTGTAGAAGTAAGGGAAATGACGCTGTTGCCATCAGTACTAATCTCTTAAGCTTTACATTAAAGAGCGGCAGGGTCAGTACAATATAATAACGGTAATTGCGCATCTTTAAGTAAATGTACAAGGCAGTGGCATAAGCAAATGCAGGAGTAAAAGGGATGACGCATGAATTTTGATCTCTTTAATTTAGCACTCAAGAGCGGGCAGGAGAGAGCAGAGCATTCAGGTTCTCCTTTCCTACATTAGATATGCAAATGCAGGCTTCCATAAAAATGAGCGAAAGTGCATGTATAAATGTGTACAGCGCTGCTACTATTGTTGGAGCTGATCTATTTATAGAGCGTATATTGCATATGTGTGATGGTGAAGCCTCTCCTCTTGCAATTGTATTAGTAATCAGCAGTTCGTTGCTTTACTTTTAAAAATGCATTCGTGTTGAATAGAAAGGGAGAGAGAGGCAATGTGCCTTTGCTCAGCGAGCGCTGCTGTCATTGGTTGAACTGTCGTTGATCTCCTTGTTGTATGAGCGAGCAAGGTAGATGAATTGAGAGCGTAGACTTGGTGCTGTGCTCATCGTGCAATTATAAATGCTTAATGACTCTATTATCTGCTGTGCTGATGTCTATTTATTATATATATTGGAATTATATTTATTGGAAACGAATTAAAGAGAATATAATTGTAAAGAATGTTGTGTGTTCTTTGCAATTTATTCGTGATAAGAATTTCTGTTAAATATTATTGCACCCAAGGACTTATATTTAATTTCTGAATTGCGCAACGCATTTCTTGCTAAATATTATTCACTCCAACCCAAAATGGCGGACAATTGGAATGACCTAAGATTTCCAGGCAAAAATAATCAAGGAGAGAAAGGCAAATAAAAAAAAAATATGAATAATAAATGAGCAATTAATATCAACTGTCAACGAGCAAAAAAGAGATTAAATTAATGCTGCAATTTAATGAAATAAAACGAAATGAAAGGCAACAAAATATATTTGTGGAAATTAATGACAGAAAAGCTGAAGAGCTCAAGGCTCATCAGCGACTTTACACTTTACCAGAGAGTGAAAATATTATTTATATTATTACGTTGAGAGACAAAATTGTTTTTGTTGTTGATATTAATACGAATGTCCGCAGAGCTTGTGGATAGAAAGAAATGTAGAATTGAAACGCTGCTCATTTCCTATATGAAAAAGATAAAAGTAATGAATAAAATAATATTTACAATTTTTGGGTTAGCAATATATTAAAAAAAAGAAAAGAAAGAGGAAAAGATCGATGATTTTGTTAGACCACCCTCGCAGCCACACACATACAAATGCACTGTGTTGATTTCTGACTCTGTTTTTAGAAATAGCGAGGATTTCCGTGCGCCAAAAAGAAGAAAAAAAAAAAACTGACATGACTTTTAAACTTTGCTCGCTTGACGTATAGCTACGCTCTCATCCTGACGCCGCACCGCCCCGCCACACCCCAATCTTGTTCTGCTAATGGCAAGAAGACGCAACTGCATCGCGTGCGTTGGCCTGGCGTGAAAATTTCTAAAGTTTCACTTGGAATTGGGCACTGGCGTAGGAAAATGTAAGCAGCTCGTATCGATTTTTTTAGCTGCGATAATGTCTGGCGGCCATTAGGGCAATCGTTAGGCTGCCTACCGCACCTCGTAAGCCCCATTCTAGTTTAATATGCCATGTACTCTATATATTTGCCATCACTGTCACAGGCCCCCTCCAACGTTGATTATCTGGGCCCCATTGTCCGTGCTTAGTGTTTGTTTTTGTCCTTTTGATGATTGTTTTCGTTGTCAGCCCTATGAGCAGCGGTCCCTTGCCTGTCGCCGGGCCATCAATCGAGGCGTCACCCGCAGACGTTTTATGGCTCCGAGGACTCTGGCAATAGATTGGCATTGCCTTCTGCTTTATTAACCCCTTAGCCTCGATTCGTTCGTCTGTTGTACGTCGACAAATTACAATTTATTTCTTTCCCTCCCTCTCTAAATAGTTTTTCGAGTATTCCACATGATTCATTTGTTATATAATTACCCGTGTGTCAAGCCATTTAGTTAACACTTAAAGCGCAAAAAAGCTTGAGTATATGGCTTATAAAAGTTTAAACTGAAATATATTTGAACTGAGAAGAGATTGGGTTGCAAACAATCGAAAAGCCATTAAACCAGTTCTCCAAGCGCAACACAAAAAGATCTCGCAGTCTAATGGATAAATAATGCCCACATCTGGCAACGCTTGCTATGATATGAATGAGGCGCTCATTCGGAAGGGTATTTTTATGTCTAATGAAATGGAATGAAACGGGTGTATCAGCTGTATATAAACAACTAGAGCAGGTTGCATAGAACTGAGCTAGGGTATCATTGTATGGTCTAAGTAAAAATGAAACAAACGGGTATATTGGTTTTAGAAAGCAGTTAACAAGAACAGTAGAATATAGCAGCTGAGTTCATTTAGATATAGCCCGTATTAATGAGTTAATAGCGATAGCTAACAAATCAGCTTGAAATTTAAATAATAATACAAAAAAAAAAAATTGTATTAACTCCAATCATATTATAAATTAATTATCTTTAGGTATTCAAAAAAATTTAATAAAGCAAATCTAATTTTTAGTTATTTAAAATATATACTATATAAATATAGTCCAAATTATTAAGCATATTATAAAGATCTAACTAAATTTTTTGACCGAAAAATACTTATCGAAATGTATAGAATATCTTATGTCGGTTCATATATATCTTTTAAATTATTAAGTTACTTTTAGAGATATCCAGGGTAGCTGCTACTCAGGCAATCTCGATTAAACCACGCTTGGTTTTTATATACATTTTCCTTTAGCTACACTCAAATGGCAGTCTTCAGGCAAGTGTCCAACATTTTGTTGCGGCTTGCGAGATAAAAACAACAAAAAATATATGAGAAATATGAGAGTGCCATAAACAAACGCTGTGTGGCAAATATACATACACACATGGGTGTTTTTTTTTTTATTTACGATTGTTTTTACTGTTGCTTTTTAAGTGTTGCACAAAGAAATGTCAATATTGAATTTAATGAAAAACTACGTAACAATGCAATCTAGAAGATAATAAAAACACAGAAATGTATAAATATTCATGGGAGTAAAGCGATATTTAAGGAATTTGACTTTAAAAAAAACCAATGTGTAAAAAATAAAATAAATAAAATAAACGAAGCCATTCATGGCTAAACTGAATCATTGGACTTCATCGGCTATCTAGGCTCGGAGCCTTTCATGGCAATGGGTCAATTGTGCCTTTATTTCTTCACATATTTTGCATATGAATTTCTGGAGTGAACCCATCAAAGCCGATTAAATTAGCTCCATAATGAAGCAATGGTAGCGGCTTATTTATGTTTCCTGTATGTGTTTTGGATATTGTGTGTGTGTGTGTGAGCTGTGAACCCAAAACTCAACTCAAAACAATATTTGCATATAAATTTTGGTATGCCAGTTGCTTGATGAGCATCGACGTTGATGACGGCGTCGGCGTTGGCGGGGGCGGGGAACGTTTTGATATGCAAATTCTGGTTTGATATTGAAATGTAGAATAAACTTTGGCCAAGTTGTATAATCAGCAGCAATGTCCTGCGGATTTTCAATTAATCTGTATTTATTTAAATCAGCTTAAAGCGACAATTTGCTTGGATAGAGAACAGAGCATAATCTGGCTTTAAAGGTTGGGGATAATAAAATCGATAGAGTTTAAAGTAACGCAACTGAAAAATTTAAATTAAATAAGATTGGGAACATTTTTCAATATTTTGTACATGAAAGTAAACTATCTAACTAAGTAAAATCGTTAAATAATTGAAATAACAGCTCTGCACAGTATGCAGAGTATCCCCAAGTCGAGCAATCCCAACTGGAGCACTCTCACCTAGTTTATAGAACGCTATTTGGTTCACAGAATTCAAATTTAGTTTAAAGCATTTGTCAATAAAAATTGTTGATTTATGCAAATGTTATCTGTATCAAGTATTTCTATATTTGTCTGCAAAGATCCACAAAGCATAGCAAATGCTTGTCCTGTGGCTAAAATATTCCTCAGCTCTCAGTCGCTCGCTCTCGCTGCTCTCTGCAGCAAAAGTTTTCATCTGCATGTTGCCAGCAACCAACCTGTCAATCTGTGCTCAGTCAGGTGTTCATTGAACTACCGTCAGGTGCAATATGTTTTTACGCACTGAAAAAAAAAAAAAAAAAAAAAAAAAAAAT